CGTGATGTTTTTTTTTTTCATTTGCGTGTTCATCCATAGATAGATTGGATAGATAGATAGATGGTTAGATAGATAGATAGATAGATAGATAGATAGATAGATAGATAGATAGAGAGAGAGAGAGAGAGAGAGAGAGAGTGAGAGAGAAAGAGAAAGACAGAGAGAAAGAGAGAATGTTAGTGCTAAGCCCTTGCCCTAGCTATACACCCAAAAGGTTGCAAGGTTGCCAGTGCTATCCCCGGAAATGCTGCAATATTGTCAGTACTATCTCTGAAATGCTGCATTGGTTTCAGTGTTGTTTATACCTTGATAAGCGCTGTATTGTTTTCTAACTACAGCATCAACAATATATCCAAAGTACCATGGATCCCGTCCATACCAGGTTACAATGGCCATACCCTATAGCACACCAGAGTGGTATTTCTGGTACCTTAGAGGAGAAGAGGAAAGAGAGTAGGAGAGAAAGAAGGCAAGGAGGAGAAAGAAGTGAGGAGGGGAAAAATGGGGGAAGGAGAAGAGGGAGGAGAGAAGGGGATAATCAGGAGAAGGAGGAGAAGGAGGAGAGAAGGAAAGAGAGAAGGCAAGGAGGAAGATAAAGAGAAAAAAGGGAGAAAAGAAGAAAGAAAGTGAAGGAAGAGAAAAGGGGATAATCAGGAGAAGGAGGAGAAGGAGGAAAGAGGGGGGGGGGGGAGAAAGAAGACAAGGAAGAGAAGGAAGAGAAGAATAAGAGAAAAGGAAAACAAAATAAAAAGAAATCCAGCCATGCGAGATATACATCAAATACTCAAATGGAAGTGTTATTAGGAATTCTTACTCGTGTTTGAAAGTTGGAGGATCCTTGAATTATCAAACTGGAAAATAATAATAATGAGATAAGAAGAAAACGTCAACATCCTACAGTTCTTCAGAAAATAGTGAAAATAAAACAACAGCAATAAATCCACAATCATCATAAAAATACTAAAAAGAGATAGATAGATAGATAGAGAGAGAGAGAGAGAGAGAGAGAGAGAGAGAGAGAGAGAGAGAGAGAGAGAGAGAGAGAGCGAGCGAGCGAGCGAGAGAGAGAGAGAGAGAGAGAGAGAGAGAGAGAGCGAGAGAGAGAGAGAGAGAGAGAGAGAGAGAGAGAGAGAGAGAGAGAGAGAGCGAGAGAGAGCGAGCGAGCAGGCGAGCGAGAGAGAGAGAGAGAAAGAAATCAAAATTGCCAAACTGCCTCATTTCCTCAGAAAATTCCAGTCCCTGCTGACACTCATATATCCGATTCCCTTAACTTGCAAACAACAGACGTTCTTACGCTTATAGACGCTAAACCTCCGCCAGCTGACACTCTATGACAATACATTCCAAGACCTTACAAGATGTTCATTACCATTATAATCAGACCAGCGCCAACCTGTCTTATTCTGCGCGAGAAGAGAGAGAGAGAGAGAGAGAGAGAGAGAGAGAGAGAGAGAGAGAGAGAGAGAGAGAGAGAGAGAGAGAGAGAGAGAGAGAGAGAGAGAGAGAGAGAGAAAGAGAGAGGAAAATAGATAAATAGATAGATAGACAGGTAGATGTATAGATAGATACAGAACAAGGGATAAACAGAGAAAAGAAAATGTGTGGGAGATATATTGAGAAGAGAAAATGAGACAGAGGAAGGGATAGAGGCAGATAGAAATAGACAGATAGACAGAGAGCGAAACAGAGAGACTCAAAGCCAAGATACCCTGGTGAGAAAGGGATGTGAGATTGGAGGACTGAGCTCCCCACCCCCCCCCCACCACCACCATTCGACCTCGTTAGCATAAGGGGGTTTCCCAAAGGACTCTGCGGCATACGCGTCCTTAGAAGGGTAGGAATCCTCGCAGGACTGCCACTCCTATGACAAAGGTCTTCCTACGAATCCTCTGTCGGTTGCCATCACTGTAGCGTCGCTTTTGGCTGAGTGTTCAGCGCGTCAGTCTCATATCAGGAGGGTGGGCTGGGTTTTGTTGTCCGCTTTGGGGGCTTGGAGAAAGCAAAGCCAGATATAGTAACTTATTTACAAATACAGACATATTTACAGATACAGACATATTTATTTCTTCTTCCTTCTTGTCTTCCTTCCCTTCAATAATCTTTGTTTCTTTTCCTCCTTCTTTTCATCTATTTCCTCATCTCCGCTTTCTTCTTCCTCTCTCTCTCTCTCTTTCCTCATGCTCTTTCTTCCTCCTTTTCCTCCTTCCTCTCCTCCTCCGCCTTCCCTCTCCTCATTCTCTCCGTTCCTTTTCCTGCTCCATTTCCTCCATTTCCTTATCTCTTCTTTCTTTTTACTCTATCTCCTTTTCGACCTTCGCAAAGGCAAACACAGTAACTTGTACACAAAGATGAAATAAAATGCAGTCACAGTAATAAAAGTAACAATAAAAAGTGATATAAGTATAAGTATACTCGCCATCAGAAAGAAACTTATGAGGCTTCTGGCGTGCTCGAAACGTCAAGGTTCACTGCTCTTGTCTGTCCTTTCCCTGGCCTTAAA